TGGGGGGTGGAATCAAATGCAAAAATTAGGCAATTTGGCTTTGTTTCTGCTCCTTCYTGTATCACCTCTCATGCCTTTATAATTGCTCCTGCCAGGTGGTAAAATGAGGAAAAACAGAAGAAACTGCTGCTGAACACCACCAACAAGAAACTTTGCTTAAAAAACCAGGTGTCACATTGTGGCAGTTCAATATTTCATAGCCAATACAAGGAATGTGCAACAGCACTGTAACTTTAAATCTTTGCCTCCTGTGTCAGTCTCTCTCCTCTCATTGTAATGCCAAAGGGAACAGCAATCAGAGTGGAGATGTTCAACGTGATAGAGGTCAGGACACCAGTGGATCAACGTACCAGAAACACGACCTTGTTTATTTTTTTCCCCAGTATTATTGTTTACAGGGTGCTTTGCTCATGTACCTTGTGGTTCTTAGCTAAAAGATGAAATTACAGCCCAGGATGAAGCGCTCAGGCACACATCCAATTTGTGTTTCCATCTCAGAAAACAAAAAGCTTCTGAGGCCCTCGGGCTGCCATTCAAACTTGGAGAGGCTGACATTTTTAACAGCATGAACCAGAGACTGGCAGAGGGAATGATCTAATGCATTTCTGACTTGTCAATCAAAGATCTCACCTCTGCTGTCTTGTAAACAGTTGGGGGCCACCTAACTACATTCACAAACAGGGGAGAGCCTGCTGCCAGCCAGGGGGGTGCTGGAGCCGCATGCTCTGGCTATTAGTCACCAAAATTAGGATTCTGCTTTGGAGGTGCACTGTAAACAGCCCCGGGGCAGGTTTCACACAGCCGCTGGCAGAGTGTGCRGGGTGAATACAAAGCAGGCTTAGTGTCTCCATGCTGATGGAGTATATGACTGGACACCCCATATCTTTCCCAATTAGAGACAGAACTACGCACCAGTAAACACTGGCTCCAAAGCCAAACAATTTCCTTCAAATGTATTTCTCACAAATACATTTCTGAGCATGCAGTTGGTCCACCCCAAGACTCTAGCTCTAACCTCCTATATAATCAGAAATTATGTACTACTTCTCACATTTACACTGTATTTCCAGCAGTGAAATGTCAACTTCTAACACAAAAATGCATGAACAGGATGAAGGAAATTTGCAGACACAACTCTTTCTACCAATACACTGACAATGCTTCTTTAACAAATATTGCACTTTCTAACACAAAAATATAAATATTAGGAAAAAGTAATGTAAAAMTAATTTTAAAAATAAGTGCATCTGTTCCTCACAGGGGACCCAGACGTCCATCACTGCATACCTTTGACATCTTTTGYGTTTTCACCCTTCTCCAAAAGTAATCTCAGTCCACAGAGGTCATGTCCACACTGCACAACCTCAAGTGCACTCCCATTTGCTTCAAGCTGCCTAGCACAGTACACCCATGCCTTCCTCACCAGGACAGAGCTTTTAGCCCAGAYGAGGAAGTCACACACAATGCTCACTTCTGCAAAATCAAGCAGAAGCTAGCCCCTKCACCTGACAAACCCTGATGTGTAGTTCTTCATTACCAAGATCTTCCGGTAAAACAAAAAATGAATTTCTGACATTCCATAGACACATTTCTGTATTCAACAAGATGCTGCTATCTCCATCACRTAAGTTAGTCCTCCTCTTTGATTACTAGAGCCTGTTACAGAAACAAAAGTTTCAGATTTGSCAAAATAAAGCTGCCAAGACAACTCTGTTCTTCTCCACTCATGTTTAGGCTCCAGACAAAGGTAGTAAAAACACTACTTTTGTCCCAAATAGTTTACAATCTAAACAGGAGCTGGTATTTGTGTTGGCTGTGAATTAGGTAAAAAGGAAGAGGTGGACTGCTCTCCAGATTACCGCGATACATAACCTTTGGCAAGACTTTWAAATTCCTCTTCAAGCCTCCTCATTTATACAATAGCCTACAGAAAGAAATTCAAGGAAATACTTTGGTCTTCTGCAAACATGGAAGGATTAACATAATCATTTCCTTGGCATACTTGATGGGTGTGACTGTAAATTTGAATTTTCAAAGAGCTGTGACTATGAAAAACAACATAAACAGAGCCTTGTGAGCATGCATGGAAAAAATATTTCAACAGGGAAAGTAATTATCTTCACATGAAAAATGTCATGRAAACAAACACCTGTTGGCACATCTGGAAACTTCCAAAGCACAAATTCCTGAGAAGAATTAGTACATTCTGCATAATTTATTCTTTATTATTAAGAGAATCTACATGCAACCAATTTCAGTTGCTTTGCAGAATCACAGCACAGTAMAATGTGGCATTCAAGACAATGAGAATTGAATGGCTGGCCTTCTTCTCTTGTTAAAATATCCTCTTTGACCTCTTCCTCAGAGGAGTTCATGTCCCAATTTGCTGCCATCTTCCWCCATGATTGCTATGAAATTCAGTTACACAGTGGACTCTCAGTTGCAAAGCCCTTTGAGGTAAAARATGTAAAAAAGAACTGTTCCTAGCTCCTTATTCCCCTGTTAATGGGTTCAGCCTTAAAGCCTTCCCCAGYGCAGGATGACTGCCTAAAAACAGGATTGAGGAACCTGAAGATCCTGTTTTCACCTAAGTGTGTCCAACAATAAAAACACTGTGAAAAATTAAGTTACCTGAYGTATGAAAAGAATCATCTCTAAATTGACTACCTGTCAATGCTTCCCATGAGGAGTCAGCAAGACTTGAACTGAGCTATACAAAAAGAGCATCTTTCCACATTTCTGTCTGAGCATCTGAAGGCAGGCATGTAAATAACTAGACAAATTCAGCAGTGACTAAGTAGCCTTCCAGATGGCATCTTCTCTTTTGCCACAAGCAAAGAACATTGATATGCTTCTCCAGTTACTTCAAGCTTGCAACGGAAAAAAAGCAAAGTAACTTAATATGAGAAAATTTGCTGGGGTACAAGAAAGTCTTTAATGCCTTCCTGAAGATCTGATACCAAAAAAAGCATTAAAGAACGATGAAATACTGCAGTATCACTGCYTCAAGCAGGCTCCAAACCACTCCCTTCTGCACTGGAAAATGCAGAAGCCATGCCTCAGAGGGGAGTTTTCTTCAAACCATGCAAGCTAATGAGGATCAATCAGAGCCCATTSAAAAAAATGGACTGAGATGTGGATGACTCAGTGCTGCAGAAGCTGTTGTTGGCATTGTGGTTTCTCCCTCAACTGGCAGTAAATGTATTCCTCAGCACAGCAATCAGAGTTCAACGAAGAGTACCCAGTCTACCATTTCAGATGGCAAGTAGRACATACTTCCCCAATTCCCTTAGTCACTAAATACACATAGAAATGYCTCTCAAAATCTGCAGAAATGCAAATGTCAATCCTATTAGTATCCCAACACAATGAATGGTTGTGCAGCTGACTTGTTTGACCTCAAATATCAATGCACAACATTAGTAGAAAAGTTCATATCTATCACTAGCAAGAACATCTTAAACTATAATAAATTACTTTCCCTTCCCCTTTGTAATATATGCCTATTTTAAGTAATCAAAAATAATTCATGTAGAAATGAAGAAGTCTCAATTTGAGTTTATAAATTACTTTCCATACACTGCTAAGCTTAAAGAGACCTGAGATTTATWCAACAGCCAAAAGCCCAAAAATTAGGCCCATCCGATTTAGTCAAATTATGCAAATCAGGATTAGGAGTCTAAACTCTGCCTGTTGTCTCTGGAGTCCTCTTAGACTAATAAAAAGTCATCTTCCCCCTCCCCCATGGAAAGCTCTGCTAAAAGCATGGTTCAGCAAAGCAGGCCTGGCAGGACACCTTCCAGAGTCCATCAGTGCTAGTGCTGTGTCAGCAAAAAGAGTTGCAGCAAAATGATGCAAGACACTTAAGCCTCCCCTGGGACTGAGAGGATTATTTCCCCAGTACTCTCTAACTCTGGGAGCAAGAAGTCAAATTTAAAACAATATTTGCATTCTTTCCTTTAGAGGCATATAATGACCCTTCCTCAAAAGAAGTAAAAAGATTCTGGCCTATTCATTTKATCTGGTTTTGTAAGATACCAGAAKAAAATTCTCTGCCACWGGTTAGGCCAGCAGGAGCATAATCCTGCAGCATAAACCTTGAAGTAAATGTTCATGCTACAGTAAGATCAAATMAACATGCTCTCTGCAGAGATACTCCTAAAGCCCCTCAATCTCTGCATATATGTATACTTATATTTATTGATATATTTATATATATAAATACCTCAGAGTATCCAATGTGAACATGACACCTCTGGTGCCCACTCTCTGCTGTTATGTCTACAAGTCATCAAAAATGCTCGCAACGATCTTGTCTAGGTTTCTCGATGCTCACCCAATACCTATCTGACTCTACCCACAGGAGAGTGTCAGCTTTTTTTTAAGATTCACTGGTCATCCAAAGGGTGTGAAYAAACTCATTTGGCAGAAAGCTGACTCATGACAGAAAAGCCTGAATCCAACAAATTCAGAGACCAAAGGAAAAAAAAAATCCTTTATTTGCCTTCTAACTAACAGCTTACTTGGACAATAATTTTCTGCAGTCAAAATGTTCAGACTCCTGCTAACAAATCTGAAGTAAAGAATTTCTGGCATCAATTATCATCATGGCAATGAACTCACACTCTCAGTCCTTTAAGTAGCACACAAAAAATTTTGATAGGAGGGGAATCACTGCATGAATAGCCAGATTGGAGACTGTGTGATGGATACGGTTTGCCAGATATAATTAAGTAGTATCTTTCTGACWCAATTTAAAGCCAATGGAGAAGATTATGGTATCAAGCCAATTTAGATGAAATAATTATATTATATCAAGGTAAATGAAAATGCCYCAGCTGCCCTGAATCTACACAAGATGGGTTTAAATACCAGAGATCAGAATGGCACAGGAGAGGCATAAGTATGAACCAGAATAAACAGAGGTCAAGCAGGCAAGTAAAGAAGGAGATGCACACGCACACAGATGGAGAAAAGGAGTGGAGAGAGACAGAAAGTACCTGGAAAGCTGGGAGTGCGCCAGTCCCTGGGTTATACAGGCATCGCAGCGAGGGCATGCTGTCCGCCAGGCTGGAGCAGCCCAGCCACAGAGATCTGGGCATAGAGCACTGCAGAGAAAGGACAACTATGAGATGGGACTGTATGAGACAGGATGGCACAGATTACAGGAACTTTTAAGGCTTAGCCAAATGGCATCAACAACTGCACCTGGCCTTAAAAACTGAGACCTGTTTAGGAGAGCACTAACTGCTGAAGCATCTTCTCCTTGAGAGAAGCTTTACAGATGTCATAGTAGCAAGACAAAGGCACTATGGATCGAGAAAGTAAATTTTTAATCAATTTTCTACACCAATGTGTTGAGTTTTCCCAGTAATAAGAAGTTTCTTTCCAATTAATCAGACCTCTTCTCCATCCACAGCAACACTCCAGGCAGAACACAAGGCAMTTTTGCAAGGAAAGCAGAAAAGTAAATGACAACTTTTACGTGTAATACTTGCAGGGAAAAAAAAAAGGCTTGTGTTTTGTTTGTAAAGGGGATAAAAGGAAAACCCTGTGATCCAAGGTGAATAGGAAGTTGGTGACACTTTATAGGAGTTTCATGTTTCTGCTTGCCTTGTTGTTTGCTAAATGAAATACAATTGTTATAACAAATTGATTCAGTTCCTGCAAACAGAAATACAAAAAAGGAGCCAAAGCRGCCAATCAAGGAAAATACTAGCCATTTTGATAGTTAAAGCCATTACCCCTTGAAATAGAGAGCYGCTTATTCATTTTACACCACTACTATTAAATTTAGGGATGCATTATGATAGCAATTGCTTTTACCAGACACAGAGTTTTTGATGCCATAAGCACTACTGCATTTGTCTAATTACTGGCAAGGCAGGAAAAAACAAGTGTATTTTAAATTGGCATATAGCCATGAAAACTGAAGGATGTGATAGATTAGCTGCTAGAGATTTTAAACCCTCATACTCTTCTTTTTTGCAATCCTGCCCCCGTCTTTTTTTTTTTTTTTAAATGGGGGGAGGGTACGGAAATTTGAGTGGAAAGGGCAGCTGGAATGGGTATGAAATGACAGCTGCCTTCTGAGCCACTGTTTCTTCCTGCTCTTGAGAGGGTTAGAAAACCTTGCGCAATCTTGCACTAAAAGAGTATGTAACAGCAATATAACCCATCTTTGAATGAGCAGAAAGGTGATSACCAACATCCATGATCTGGTCCTGTGCAGACAGACGCAGAGATTAACCCTGTCTGTCACCATGTTCTTTGCCGTACTTTGTGGCAATTTACACTGCTGTTCCAGAAATAGTATTAAAAGACTGCTGGGGAATATAACTTAACAGATGTGTTCTCATTAGAAGTTTACAATACCTTAAAATAAATTCCTTACCGCATTTTCATTAAAAAACAAAACCCAAACAAACAACTCTTYACTTTACAAAGATACTGAAACACARGAATTTGAGTACTTCATAGTATTACATGTCACACGAATTTGTATGTAATTCCCCTCCTGAAGCCAAAAAAATTAGAGCCGTAATATTACAACAAGCTACAAAAGTGAGCCTACTTTCTTGTCTGCGATCCTAACCTCCCAAACACTCCCACACACAAAAAACCTTCCAAATGCMAGCAATCTTTTCTTTGCCATGTAATATGTATCACTACAGCTACTGTAGTGAAAGCTGTTGTGACGATCAGTATTTAAAAAAAAATATTCACACATGAAATGGACACACATGGTTAAGAATTTCACCAATTTAATTTACCTAAATCAAAGCCRTTTATTATTCTCTAAGAATGTCACTGTAACAAAGAGGATTCACTGCACGGTGATTCTGATGATGCAGAGCAAATTTACTAGGTAAACATCAGCTGCTTACCATTACCCATCCCAGGATTCATAACATAATAAAAAYAAATATGGGATGATATTTTTCTTTCTTCATACAGAGTTATCCAAGAGTTGCAACTATCGTTTATTCCATATTCTCAAACTTACTGATCCCTTGGGTTGGCTCAAGTTTTCATGCTGTGATAGTGAACKCAAAGAACTGACTGCCATTAAAACTGACTGACAAGAAAAAAAAAGAAGTTACTTTAAATATTTGTACTGACTGAAGCATAGAAAGGTACAGAGACAGGAAAAATGAGGAGTGCTCTGTCAGTGCAAAGGCAAGCTTATGTTGACTCAAAGTTTATGTGAGATTATGGCTCAAGTCACAGTCATTACAGTCGGCGGGTAGGGCACTCTATTGTGCCAGGGAACTTACAAGGCAATGAAATGTCTTCCTCTGAAATTGCCACAATAACAAAGGAAAACACTGAAGAGCTATTCTGCAGGGCTCTCTGCACCTACAGAGGATATCATTCCTCACCCATGCACTCTTGCTGCTTAGTACTGTTCCAGAATTAGGAAGTATAAAGTAAAAAATTAACAACAACCTGAGATGATTTCTAAATCTGCTCCAGTAAATAACCAAATCTACATTAATGATACAGTTCTATTACCTATCTTAAAAATATAAGCGTGAAGTTGCGCAGTGTGGAAGCAAGTGTCATTCCCATACKTGCCTTTTACCTATTGAAGGAAGCAGAGACTCTAAATTACTGTTGGTGACTGAAAGAGGTTTATTCACAAGCCTGAACAAAAGGCCCCAGGTGCTTCAATAGAAACAGCTTGTGTGTAAATCAGATGAGTGACCCAACAGAACAACTTCATTTAGAGACTGATCTCTGAAAAATCTCAACAGCCTCTATCCCCATGCACTGAGCAAGCCACGTGTCAAACACTCACTTTTGTACTGTCAGCTCCACAAACAAGGGACTGGCCTCAATGTTCATGACTTGAAAGCTGACTGACAAAATCCTCTCCTGAACTCAAGTCAATCTACATCGATTCATCAAAACAAAGATACAGATGCACAGTGCTTGGACTACAGCCAAATAGGAATGCTGGTATTGCTTGCTAAGTGCTGGGCCAGGATGCAGCAATCTCTTTACTTTCCTAACTCCCAGTTGCATTAATACATTGGATGTCTGCATAACTTTCAGATCCAGAGAGGCAAAGCTTTTTATTTAGAAAAGCTAAGCATCTTTAATACATATTGAGTGGCATAAAATAGGGAATTATTTGATGAAAAACCCAATTTCTTTTTCCAATTGATTTTAAAATCCCACTCCCTGAACTCTGAAATGTATTTTACCACTAAATAAATACAGGGAGTATAGTTTCAAACAAGACCAGCATCTTCCTTCTGACAGAGGCTAGTTCCAGCTGCTCCTCTGGTCATTAAAATGGGTTTGCCTTATTTTCATTTAAAATAGGCTAGAAGCATTCACAGCCACTGCCCGAGCTGAGTGGACAGTAACTATGAGATGAAGGGAAGATGTATTTTRACCTATTCAATTATTCTTGTAACTATATTACAAGAACATTTTTTGACTACATCAGATGTTCTGCCTCTAATAGTTTACCCTCTTTTCCAATTATCTGATGTCCTAAAGACAAATTTCAATACACACTCAATGGCTAAATTTTTGCCACTGCTAAAAATTGGTTATTTACTTTATTTGCTATTGCATTATAAGATTATACATTACCATTTCAGACTGGATTTTTTTTATCAAATTTGTTCTTTTCTAGTCCTTCAGCAAATACAATATACTAGGGGTAACTAACACAGTTTTAGTAAATTGTGTTACAGGTCAGAAATATATCACCTTGTCCTGTAAAACTAAGTGGCTGTACATGGGGAAAAAAGTTCTTGGACTGCTACAATTCAGAACTATAGTGCACAGGTAKGAAAGCACAAACGGACTATACTGAGCTCACAGTAAAACAAGAATGACCAAAAKAAAATCAGACAATAGCTGAAGGATATTTTCTTTATAATCACTTCAGAGAAATTAATTAGACAATAGTACAGAMTGACTGTCTTTAATTGTGGCACATTTTAACACAGTGAGGTATTACCTACTACCCCTGCATGAACCCTGTACTGACCTTTATGATAACCTGTGCACTTAAAACACCTTTGATTGACAGGTGGCCTAATATATTTTTGTACAGCTTCACAAGTTAGTGACAAAGCCAAAGAGGAAATCCTTTTTTTTTCCCCAGGGCTGGTGTTTGGTCTACTGTACATAATATTAATTTCAGATGCTACCCACAGCTATTTTAGTCCTTTCCGAATTCAGAATTATTTCTGCTCCAATACAGCATCCAGTGCTTTACGCAGGTGAATTCTAAAGATAAGCCAATAACAATTTCTAAATATTACAAAAACCAGGACAAAAAGGGAAAAAAGGTCCTAGAATTTCTACCACCCAAACTGTAGCAGCTAAAACATAAGGGTACTCTGAAGAGTATTAAAAGTATATAAACCAGATATGTGCCTGATATGAGGAAATAGATTATTTCCCCACTTCTTTTTTTCGTCAATTCAGAAAGCAAATATGGGATGGCTGGCAAGAACAATCCTACCTGAAAGTCTCTTTCACACTATTGTTTCCTGCATACTCTATAAAATCTACTTCTCAGGAAACATGCCTTAGGAATTTTAATCCTTTATCAAACACATGCTGAGTTGTTACCAAGATTCCTAATATTCGGAATTATTTTTATCATATACCACAAAAAATGGAGAACAAACCCCAATACCTTTCAATCTCACTCAATTCCTCTAATACTGTTTTTGGCCACACAGTTAACTAAGCCAATACCAAAAATACAACACACATCACTTCCACATTGTGTCCAGTCTGCACTATTCCTGTCACCGCAGAATGCAATACATTGCAYGAAAAGTATCAGATAAGGCAGCTGCTATTTACATCACAAATGTTGGTCTTATGAAACTCAGTAACAATTCCAGAACTTTACTTCTGGCTAAAAAGTGATTTTGGATCCTTTCTTTGGTCCACTTATCATTCTTTTAACCTCTCACACACACACACAAATGAAAGGTGTCTCTTATTTTTCCCTCTACCGTTCTGAGAGGTGTTTTCTGATTAAATATATATAAATATAAGAAGAAAATATTCCCAGTGCAACTTGTATCTTTTCACAATTAAAAAACCTCACATACATATTTCACTTCTT